TTGAATTGCATGTGCAATTGTTACCTTGCAAGAAGCTGATCATTATATATGGTAACTCTTCCTCTAGCATGAATGCAACTGGCTTGTAGTACATCCTATCCATGGAATGCAATAAAAGTAATAATTGTAGAAGACATAGAATGGGATAAAAAACATCTTTACATCAACTTTAASTAGCCATCTTTATTTCTTATTATTTTTGCATTACTCTGGTGAAACTATTTATACTCCATTCTTCATTGAAGTACTCATTACTTCAATGGACAGACTAGACACTCAATTTCAGTTGATCAGCCAGTTGATTACAAGAATGAACATTCAGCCACAAGATTGGTGTACCTCATGAACAATGGCTTATGCTATAAGTGCATCAACCCATAAAATAGATCTATGGGAAAGGAGAATTATAACAGATACTGAAGATATCTTGACTCACTGTATTTTCTTGGTGTCTGACAGCATTGCATCAAGATAACTTTCCATCAGACAGTCATTCAARGCCAGACGCACCCATGCCTGAAACAGTCCAGTAATATCATTATCAACAAACTAGCATCACCCTGCATTGATATATATGATAGGTGCTGTACTCACCCTGCATTGACTGATGGGKGTGRTTATATGTGATAGGTGCTGTATTCACCCTGCATTGACCAATGGGGGTGGTTATACATGATAGGTGCTGTACTCACCCAGCATTGACCAATGGGTGTGGTTATATGTGATAGGTGCTGTACTCACCCTGCATTGACCAATGGGGGTGGTTATACATGATAGGTGCTGTACTCACCCTGCATTGACCAATGGGGGTGGTTATACATGATAGGTGCTGTACTCACCCTGCATTGACCAATGGGTGTGGTTATACATGATAGGTGCTGTACTCACCCTGCATTGACCAATGGGTGTGGTTATATGTGATAGGTGCTGTAGCTCCTGCGTAATGTCTTTATGGGTGAAATGGACAAGGAAACTCCAAAAAGACTGAAAAAGCAACAAATAAAACTACTTTTCAGAACTAATTTTCAAATTTACAATCTGCTCCTTTAATATTTGCTGATAGTGCAGTTTTCTATATTATTTGTTATCGTTTTAAAGGAAGATTTATACATACTCACATGTGATGGCATGGATTCTGAAGAAATCTTCCCAAGCAGATTATAGAAATTGGACATCTATAACCACAGACAAAGAATGTTTTTTTCAATTGTAGTAAATTTATTTGCTTCTGAGGGTCAGCTGTGTGTTCAACCTTCAAAAACCTTCAACTTGTATCAAACCCTGTAACAACCTCTGGGCTAATCACAGTAAGGCCTACAACATGGCTAACTCACAGATCAAAACCTGAAACAACCTCTGGCCATGGGCTRATCTARGTCAGGACATGGCTAACTCACACAACAAACCCTGTAACAACCTTTGGGCTGATCTAAGTACAGTAAGGCCTAGGGCAAGGCTAACTCACAGATTAAACTCTGTATAACAACCTCTGGGCTAACCAAAGCTAGACCTAGGGCATGGCTAACTCACAGATTAAACTCTGTAACAA